TTTTTTTCCCTTTTTTTCATTTTTAGTCTCTGAGTGTTATTCTATGTGGCTCTTTTCTCGCCTTGACATCCACCAGTGTTGTAGAGGCTCCAGTGTGTCCACAACCCCCTAACATAACATCCACCAGTGTTGTAGAGGCTCCAGTGTGTCCACAACCCCCCTAACATAACATCCACCAGTGTTGTAGAGGCTCCAGTGTGCCTACAACCCCCCTAACATAACATCCACCAGTGTTGTAGAGGCTCCAGTGTGTCCACAACCCCCTAACATAACATCCACCAGTGTTGTAGAGGCTCCAGTGTGCCTACAACCCCCTAACATAACATCCACCAGTGTTGTAGAGGCTCTGGTGTCTCTACAACCCCCTAACATAACATCCACCAGTGTTGTAGAGGCTCTGGTGTGCCTACAACCCCTAACATAACATCCACCAGTGTTGTAGAGGCTCCAGTGTGTACAACCCCCCTAACATAACATCCACCAGTGTTGTAGAGGCTCTGGTGTGCCTACAACCCCCTAACATGACATCCACCAGTGTTGTAGAGGCTCTGGTGTGTCTACAACCCCCTAACATCCACCAGTGTTGTAGAGGCTCCAGTGTGTCTACAACCCCCCCCCCCCCCTAACATGACATCCACCAGTGTAGAAGCTTTAGGTCTCACTACAACCATCCCTCTCTCTCCTCCTCCTCCACAGGTACCTGGAGAAGGACGCGTTCAAGAAGGCGGGGCTGGTGAACCTGCAGAAGCTTTACCTGAAGAACAACAACGTCCGAAGCGTTCACAAAGACGCCTTCAGGGACCTCCGGATCATGATCGAACTCGATCTCAGCGGCAATCGCATAGACAAGCTTCACCCGCATACCTTTACCGGTAAGTCTGAGCTCTTTCCTCTATGGCCGTTACCGGAAGGATATCTTTCCCGCCTTTATCTTTATACCGGTAGGGCTATATCTCTGCCCCCAATATACCTTTACCGGTAAGTCTGAGCTCTTTCCTCTATGGCCGTTACCGGAAGGATATCTTTTTCCCATTATCTCTATAACGGTAGGTCTATCTCTCTGCCCCCAATATACCTTTACCGGTAAGTCTGAGCTCTTCCCTCTACTCTATGGCCATATCCGGAAGGCTATCTTTCCCGCCTTTATCTCTATAACGGTAGGTCTATATCTCTGCCCCCAATATACCTTTACCGGTAAGTCTGATCTCTTCCCTCTACTCTATGGCCATATCCGGAAGGCTATCTTTCCCGCCTTTATCTTTATACCGGTAGGTCTATATCTCTGCCCCCAATATATCTTTACCGGTAAAGGTAGCTACCACTGGCAGTTGTGGGTGGTGAAAGAACTTTGACAGTGAAAGCAGTCCCTCTTTAAGGGAATAAGTGAATGACAGTGAAGTCAGTGTATTTAGAGGTAATACATGTTAATTAATGAAAGCAGTGGTTTAAAAGAAGGAAGGAATTGAAATCCATTCGGCTTTTAATTCTCACGACCAAATGAAAATCCTCTTAGCTTTATTAAATTCTCTTAACGTTATTAAATCCTCTTAAACGTTATTAAATTCTCATTTACCATAATAAATCTCCTAAATTATATTAAATCCTAAATCTGTTAAGTAGTTTTATCCTGATTTACCTCTAACAAGCATTTTATCCTTACTTGACAAGTGTGTGTCTTTCCCAAGTGGAAAAAGTGGATATTATATTTATAGTGATTACTACTTTACTTAGGATTATTAAGTAATACCTCACGATTGTTTAATATGATCATGTGTATATATATATATATATATATATATATATATATATATATATATATATATATATATATATATATATATATATATATACCAGGGGCCAGATTCACGAAGCAGTTACGCAAGCACTTACGAACTTGTCCATCTTTTCTCAATATTTGGCAACTTTGTTTTCAATTATTCAATAGTTAATGAGCTCCGAAGCACCAGGAGGCTGTTTATAACAATAACAACAGTTGATTGGCAAGTTTTCATGCTTGTAAACTGTTCAATAAATGTAACCAAAGCCGTCAAAGATTGAGGAAAGATGGAAGCGTTCGTAAGTGCTTGCGTAGCTGCTTCGTGAATCTAGACCTCATGTCTGGATAACATGATTGTTTAATGTGGTCATATGTGTGTGTGTGTACCAGGGCTGGAGAAGCTGCGGGTGTTGGACCTCAGCATGAACCAACTATCCAGGCTAGATGGAGTGCAGTTTCCACCGCTCCCTCACCTGCGCAAGCTGGATCTGCGAGAGAATCGTCTATCCTACATCCACAACTTCGCCTTTTCCAACCTCGCCATCCTCAATTCACTGCGGTAAGTTGATGGTGGAAGGAGGGGAGGGTGGGGGGGGGGGGGGAGGTACGCCGGTTGTCACATCTATTCCCTGGTAATTTTGGTTCCATAGCCCGTGCTACTTGGAACTATTTGTTCCAGGTAGCGAATCGTTAACAACATGGTAATTTGGCCGTTTGTGCTTGCCCTCTAGTATGGCTGTAACTTGTAGGACGAAAGGAGACATCCTGCTCGAGCATCGAACTCTGAATCGTAACGAAAGTGACCCCCGATTGCTATCACCACTGCGCTACAGAGATGCTTGTAATATCATCTCGTGTATAACTAGCCATTAACTCATTGTAGTCTGCTAATTTGGTTTCATAAGACTGCTTACAGTCCTGTCAATGTTTGAATGATCATGGACAATAATTATGGCTAATTCGTGTTAATGACTTTAGCTTATTATTGAGTAATTAGTTTTGCAACTTCAAATGTTGCTCTGCATATGGAGTGGGATAATAATTTTATGAAATTGAAATTGTTATATAGATTTGTTTTTGCTAATATTTCAGCTTTTTTAATGACATTTAGTGTATTGTGAACGAGGTATATAGCAGTAAATATTGGATAATTAATGAATATGTTGATAATACAGTGATAATTGAATTGATAATCAGTAGGTAATGTAATTAATAATGAATAGTTGACTTATTAATTGCATTACTATAATTATGTAATATAATAAATGTAATCACTTTTGAAGTAATTACTAGTTAATTTTATTATAATTAGAATAATTATTAATTAAAACAATTAATAATTATATAATGATTAACGCAGATAATTTATGAAATTAATAATTTGTGTAAGTCTTAAATAATAATATTAACTAGCTGTAACCCGGGACATGCGTTGCTGAGCCACAGCAACCTTGCCCCGTCTCCCAGTTCTCCCCCAACCATTCCCCACTCCCCCGTCCCCTCTTCCTCCCCACCATCCCCCCCCCCCCCCCACTCCCGTCCCCTCGACCTCATCACCATCCCCCACTTCCTCGTCCGATGCATTCCCAAATGATTTAATGTTCCCATCAGAAAATTTGGAATATTAAATGATCGATGTTCCCATCACTGAAATATAAGAAAAAGTTAAAAAACGAAATGAAAAACACTGAAAAAAAATACTCACAAAATGAACAGTATGGTAAACAACACAGCTCAATTCCAATGCAATGTCACACAAATTAATTAAATCAAAATGAAAGTAAATTGAAATCTATGAAAATTCTATTTATCAATGCAATTGGAAACACTGAAATGGAATTGTAACACATTTAGTATAGCGTTTGTTGCTCTTACGTGCAACAAATGTTGCTATTTCTTAAAAAAAAATGTTTTTACCTGTCACAGGTGTGGCATCTATACTTATACTTACAAAATGAACAGTATGGTAATCAACACAGTTCAATTCCAATTCAGTGTCACACAAAATAACTAAATCATAATGAAAATAAATCAAAATCTATGAAAATTCAATTTATCAATGCAACTGAATACATAGAAATGGAATCGTAACATATTTAATATAGTGTGTGTTGCTATTACGTGCAACAGATGGCGCTGTTTAAAAAAAAAATGTTTTTACCTGTCACAGATTTAGCATCCATATTGTAGGTATATAAAAACACGTGTGTATTCAAATGGAACATGGTGTCGAAATTTCAAAGCAATCGGGGAAGAACTTTCGGAAATTACAGTGTGTGTTAGCCTTACGTCCAACAGATGGCACGTTATTTTTTTAAAGCACGTTTTTTCCTGTCACAGGTGAGGCATGTATAAAGTAGGTATATAAAAACACGCATCTATTCGAATGCAATGTTGTGTCAAAATTTCAAAGCAATCGGTAAGGAGGTTTCGAAGATTTTCCTCGCATGAAAAACACACACAAAAGTTTTTTTTAAACATGTTTTTCCCCGTCACAGACGTGACATCTATATAATGTGTATATAAAAACCCGCTCGGATGCGAATGGAACGTTGTGTGAAAATTTCAAAGCAATCGGTGAAGAACTTTTGGAGATTAGCCATTTTGAACAAACGAACATTTACATTTTTATCTATTTATCTTATTTATAGATAAATAGGGTAATTCAGATTTAATGTTTTTTTATAATACAATAATTGAATTTATAATAGATAATGTAATTAATAATAGAAAATAAATTAATACCTAATTAATAATGACATATTCGTAAGTAATTAATAATTTTTAAAGTTATCTTAATGGGTGTGATAATCAACCTGTAAATTATTATGTATCTCTCCCGCCTGCGCTCAAGGGAGTACAGTTTTAGGCTCTTTAGTCGGTCCCAATAGTTTAGATGTTTTACTGAGTGGATTCTAGCAGTAAAGGATCTCTGCACGCTCTCCAGGTCAGCAATTTCTCCAGCTTTGAAAGGGGCTGTCATTGTGCAGCAGTACTCCACTCTAGAGAGCACAAGCGTCTTGAAGAGTATCATCATCGGTATAGCATCTCTAGTATGAAAGGTTCTTGTTATCCAACCTGTCATTTTTTCTTGCAGTTGTGACGGCTACTTTATTGTGTTCTTTAAAGGTAAGGTCTTCCGACATGAGTACTCCCAGATCCTTTACATTGCCTTTTCGTTCTATGTTATGATTTGACTGAGTTTTGTACGTGGTTTCCGTTATTATATTTTCATTTTTTTCCGTGGCGCATGAGCTGGAACTTATCTTCGTTAAACACCATATTATTTTCTGTAGCCCATAGAAAGACCTGATTTACATCTGATTGGAGGTTTGCCGTGTACTCTATGTTGTCTACCCTCATAAAAATCCTAATTGTCATCTGCAAAGGACGATACAGTACTCTAGATTGTGTCCTTGTCTGTCTGATATGAGGATGAGAAAAAGTACTGGAGCAAGCACAGTACCCTGGGGGACTGAGCTCTTCTCGGTTGATGGTCCGGATTTTATTTTGTTGACTATTACACATTAGGTTCTGTTGGTCAGGAAATTATAGATCCATCTGCCTATTTTTCCGGTAATTTCTTTTGAACGCATTTTATGTGCAATAACACCATGGTCACATTTGTCAAAGACTTTTGCAAAATCTGTGTAAATTACATCAGCGTTTTGTTTGTCTTCCATGGCATCTAATGCCATATCATAGTGGTCCAGCAACTGTGACAGGCAAGAGCGCCCTGTTCTGAAACCATGTTGTTCAGGGATATGGAGATGCTGTGATTCCATGTATTTTGTGATCTTACTTCATAGCACTCTTTCAAAATATTATATGATGTTTGATGTTAGTGCTATCGGTCTGTAATTTTTTGCCTATGCCTTATTTCCTCCTTCATGGAGTGGTGCTGTTTTTAGTATGTCAGGGATAATGCCAGTATCTAGGCTTTGTCTCCAATGAATGTGAAGGGCCTGCGATAGTGTTTTTTTTACAGTTCTTCATGAATATGGAGTTCCAAGAATCCGGGCCTGGTGCATAGGCATACTGTATATGGCTTCTTCAAAATCCAGTGGGGATAGGGTGACATCTGATATATGGTTTGATGTTGGCATCACATCCATGAAAAATTCATTTGGGTTATCAATCTTTAGTGTGTTTTGTGGCTCGCTGAAAACAGAGTCGTACTGATTCCTCAGAATTTCGCTCATTTCTTTGTTGTCATCAGTGAAAGTTCCATCTCTCTTTCGCAGGGGCCCGATACTAGATGTGGTTTTTATCTTGATTTTGCATAGGAGAAAAAATATTTCGGATTTCTCTATTTCACTGATGGCCTTTTGCTTTCTTTGCCTCTCCTGGGTTTTGTATGATTCTTGTAGCTTCCGTTCAATTGTTTCTATTTCTCTACCTAACCTTCTTCGACGTTCTTGAGATAGGGTGCGACTCTCAAGTTGTTCCGCGATTCATTTTCTTCGCCTATATAGGGAGGAACGACGTTCCCTCAATCTGCATCTCTTCCTTTTTTTTCTTAGGGGTATGCGGGTTTGAACATATTTCTAGTGCTATTGAGCTTATTTTTTCCAGGCACTGGTTCAGGTTTACATTTTCTAGTTGTTCCTCCCAGTTTATTTCTTTGAGGTCTTGGTTTATTTGCTCCCAGTTTCTATGTATATTATTGTACTTGAATTTGCTGAATTCGCCTCTTCTGGGATTCGGGACTGGTTGTGCAGGTCTATTCCCCATGCTTGTTAGAACTTCAATTAGGTTGTGATCTGAGTAACAGGTATTTGTAATCATTGTTACTGATCAATTCATCACCATTATTAGTGAAAATGAGGGCCAACGTGTTCTCCTTTCTAGTTCTACTATTTGCTGGTTTAAGGCAAATCCGTCGCAGGTCATTTGCATGTGACTGTTTATTTAGGCTACTGCCTGGTATTCTTTCTGATATAACTATATTAGCTAGGGTCTTCCATTTCAGGTGCCGTAGGTTGAAGTCCCCAAGCAGGATGATGATCGGGGTTAGATTTATGAGGTTTTCCAAGCAGTGTTCTATTTTCATTAGTTAGTCTTTACAATGCTGAGGATTTGCCTCAGGTGACTTACATACAAGGACAATAACTACATTTAAGATCTCTATTTTGATTATCAGCACTTCCACCATATCATTTGAGGAGTTTAGCAGCTCAGTACAGATGAGTGTGTCTTTGATGTAGAGGCTGACCCCACCCTGAAGCCGGTGTTTCCTGTCACATCCGAAAAGATTGTACTCTGAGATCCATATTTCACCATCATGGAAGTCCTTTGTGTGGGTTTCCGTCAGGGCTGCAAACACTGCATTTTCCTCATGTAGGAGCCCATTTGCCTTATGCAGGAGACCATCTATAAAATTAACTTTGTTAGATTTGCGTGTTTTTATACCCTGGATGTTGGCAAATAATTTTTTTTATTGTGTTTGTGGAAGTGCTGGATGCTTTACTTGGTGGTAATACTGTATATGAGGCTCTGGTAAGGAAGCCACTGTGTTTGCGTCCTCCCCAGCATTTGATCGAGATGGTGGTAGAGTCTGGACTTTTTTTTAGCCACTTTTCTCCTCCTCCTCTTGCAAAAAAAAAAAATCATCCTGGTTGATAGAGTTGAGGCTGTTTTCATAGAGGTGGCCTATCGGTTTTATTCGCCTGATACCTCTTATGTGAAAAGCTGGACATTCCGTGTTGAAACATTTTTTTTCTCGAAGAAAGAATATTTCAACATGAAACAATGTTGAACTTATTTGATGGGATCGAACCCAAGTATCTGAATCCTCAGGCACACGCACTACCGACTGGACCACGATGAGCTAAAAATATGAAGCACCTCAACCAGAGCTACTTGTTAGTAGTGTGTGCATGAGGAATTCAGGTACGCAGATGTGATCCCATTGTATAGCTACAATATTTTGTCAAATATTTCATGCATTTAGGATTTCACTATGCATAGCAAAAATTGTCTGATTTAATTTTTTTTTTTTTTTGGGTGGGTCATTGTAAGGTTACCAGCTTAGTTATTAGTGGTTGTGTTATGCAGGTTGTCTGGTAACCAGCTGCAGCTGCTACAACCACAACTGTTTCTCAACAACACCAAGCTGGTAGAGCTGGAGCTTCACGACAACCTGTGGGAATGTGACTGTCGCTTGAAGAACCTCGTCAACTGGGTGAAGGACAAGGCTCTCCTCCAGGTGTGTTCTGGCTACTGCTCCTGCGGAACAATGTGGCTGTTGTCATCATACTAAGTTAACTACAAAAGCGGAAGACTGTAGTTTTACCAACCAGTCTACCGCTTTTTGTGGTTTTGGGTTTGAGGCTCCAGTGGCCCAAGTAAATGAAATGTTATTATCTAAGTCTCAATCAATAGTGTTTTTTATGTTTATTTAGACTTTATTACTACATAGTCTCTACACTGGAGGCTTCGTGCCTTCTTTTGATAATTATACTTAGCATAAATTGATCACAATAAACCGAAGTTGATCACATATAGTCTATGATTCTAACTGGTATTTATTTCTTCCACAGACACACGTGACGTGCAGCTCACCAGAGAGAGTCTCGGGCCGCAAGTGGGAGACGCTCTCAGATGTCGATTTAGCCTGCCGGCCGGAGTTGATTGTTCCTCAACCGCAGATTCCTGCAGCTCTCGGACAGAATGCTTCCTTGACGTGTCATGCTTCAGGAGACCCGCTGCCTCAGTTAAAGTGGGTGCTCCACGGAAGAGTCTTGACCAATATGTCCATTATACCCTTCTCCCACCCGGAGCAGAGGTACGTAGTGAAGGAGATCGTCGAGGACAACGTCCGGTGGACGCGCCTCACAGTCCCGCATGTCACAGATCATGACTTTACCTACTATACCTGTGTGGCAGATAACTTGGCCGGATTAATAGAACAAAACGTATCCCTAGTGCCAGCCTCTCCAACAATACCTGGGGCTGTTTCTCCCAAAACTGGCCTTGAACTTTACATGATCATTGCCATAGTGTCAGGTGGTCTGTTGTTGTTAATCCTGATTATTTTGTTAATTTGTTGCTGTGTGAAAAAGCGCAGGCACCACGAGTCAAAGCCAAGGCCTAAAGTAAATGGTGTAGCTGGAGGAAATCACATAGAGCATAAAAATGTGATGATTGTTAACCCTGTTGAAAAGCCACCACGGAAATATGAGAAAATTCCACAGACAGATGTGGAGTTAACGGCCATCCGTGATGGAGGTGCCCACAGAAGCTATGATGAAGTTGACTACCCTGAAGCTGGTCCTGCCTCTCACCGCATCCCGCTGGCCACCTTGGAGGAAGAGGATGACGATCTCCCTTCTCAAGACACTACCTTGAATCTAGACACCACGGCTACACCTTCACAAAACGTTCTCAACGACTACATGGCTCATTATCCAGATTTGCTGGACATGGCACGCCACAGAGCAGTCTCACCAACACAGCTTTCATACCATTCGCTGGTAACACCACAGTTCACGATGCCTGGTGAATGGCGCTACAGTTACGTTAATCCTGCAGAGTTTTCTCAGTATCCAGTGGCCTACGTGTCTCCTCACCCCGTGCAGCCACGGCCTGGATACGTGACTCTTCCCCGGAGGCACCGCTCTCCATCGTGGGCTGGCACCTCTTCTGTCGAACCAGAGACCGCCTCATCGCCACCTCCAGCAAGTGAGGATGGGAAAGTGGTTCGCTTTGACCCAATCTACGACACACTAGGACCTCGCACCACGGCAGATGGCACGTCTCGCACTGATCTCACTCGGCCGGCCCTACGTGCTGTGGAACCGTTTACACCTCGTACCCCTCAGTCTCCAAACTCGCCACCTTCACTGCCCCCATATTACACTCCAGTCAGCCAAAGTACCCAGTCAGGCCGCCTACACACACGGAATCAAAGTTCTACACTGCCTCGTTCAACGCCCAACTTATTTGAAGCAGGTAGTGGTCTGAGTCTTCCTCAGCGGGAGGCCCCATCGGCTCACTTGGCTGCGCGTACGCGACTGGCTGCCCACTCTCCAACACCGTCCAATGCTAGTACGGTACGCACTGCCTCGCCTGCCTACCGTACTGCCTCTCCTGTTGTTTCTGTGTCTCCTCAACACCATTCCCCACATCAGCCCCCTGTTGGTGGCCACGCCTCAACCAAAACCCCACTGGGTTCCAGCAATGAGTCGACTTTAGACTCCTCTTCTCAATACAACAACAATAACAATTCTGTATGTGGCAAGAATGACTTAAACAAGAGTGAGATGAGCGTAGCGTCCTCAGGAGGCCCCGTCATCATGGCCACTTCAGGTAAGAAAGTACCTCCGAAACCACCTCCAAAACCCAGTGGCAAACGACTCTCGGTGTCCTCAACCGCTAGTGATTCAAGGAAAGCTTCCCTTGGGGGTGACAGCGGCCGAGGCTTTCAAGATGAAGGTCCAGATGGCACTGAAGTGTGAGAGAGAAGATGAAGCCATTTTTGGTTGATGCCTCAAAACAGTGAAAAGGATAGAACAAGGAGATTTATAGCGACTCAGACACGGAGAATATTTGAGTTTACGCGAGTGCGTTGAGACTACAGTATACCCATGTTGCTATGGTTATCCATTGTTGTGCGAGAGGTTGAGCAGCCAGAGTGAGGAGACGTTCTATTAGGCTGGCTCTTGTGATTAACAAGCCTTCCAGTGTGATGAAGATATATTTCTCATATTCTTTCGGGCAATGGTTTGTTGTGCATTTCCTACATGCATAAATTGGCATTCACAGACATTTTGTGGAAGCAGTCAAAGGTCTGTGTATTTCGGAAACGGCCATGTGTAAGTTGGCTGTTTTAAAACAGTACACCTAGTACAGTACACCCGTTACAGTACCAGAAACTAGTTTTCTGGCAGTGTCGGGCAAATCTGCATTTAAATAGGGAGACGTGACCACGTGGTTTTCCTAACGGCTTGCTGTGAATATAGACGATAATCTTCAAACTGAAGTTAAAAATGTTAGTTGAATTAGCTGGAGTTTGATTACTATGCTGAATATATATATATTGTATTTTCATAATGCAAGTAGCACCAAATTTTGTATGTTCATATTTATTAATGAGAATATGCTTGAAATGTGAAATTATAGTGCATACCTTGTGACCATTTGTGTGTAATCTGCATACACTTGAGCCATGGCAGCTCGGTTAGGTATGACTCAATTTTGTCAAAAAGTTCCAAATTGTGGCATAACTTGATGTTTAAAAATGTCTTACCAATTGAGGAGAGATTAGCGCTGCTCGTCATGGTGGAGAACCTATGTGGAAAAAGACATCTGGTCACCCATGTCTTAAAAAGTTTCTATAATGCAGGGGTTCTTATACATAGATTATCGTATAAGACAAATATTGTTCTCTCCTGTGTGAAGTTTTGTGTTTCTTGTCATGTTTATAGTCGTGTTTGCCCTATCACGATCAAAACTTTGTTTTCTCTTACCAAACTTGTCTGAAAACTACCAAGAATTTGCTCATTTTTGTGTAGCTGAAAACTACTATTTTTTGTTTTCTTCAAATTAGTCTGGAAACCACTTCAGAATGTAAAGCTTGTTTTAAAGCTTTTGTGGAAATAATATAAGAAATTCAAGTTAGTTTTTTGTTTAAGTCACGCAGAGATGAAGTGAGCTTACCTCTCTCCTCTGGGAGCTGTGTACAGGAACCCTGAGCTGTTGATCTGTTTTGATTGACGTGGCAGTGTTGACTGTTAGCAAGAGTGTCAACCCTGACTGTGCTTGACGTGGCAGTGTTGACTGTTAATAAGGAGTGTCAAACCTGACTGTAGAAGTACAAACTAGTGATGACAATTGCTCTTTACAATCAGTTTAAATGGACCTTGTATCCGAATTTTTTTTTTTTTATTTGTTATTTACGCCAACAAGTCATGGATGCGAAAATTATTATGCATCGGTTTTTTGTTTGTTTTTATGCTTTAAATAAGGAAACAATGTAAGTGTCGTTGTAATTGCTATGTTTAGTTCAATTTTTTTTTTTTGTAATTTACAAGTTGAGTAGATTAAGTTCAAGCCAGGTGATTTTTGTTTTCTTTTTATCAATTGTACAGCACAGTGTATGCTAATTTTTAAGAGAAAATTATTCCATATATATTGCTTTTTGAACGATGCCAAATGACGTACATTTTGGCTCTTGTTATCGTTCACCTCTGTGCTTTACTTTCCAAATGACTAATCTTTCTTTTTTCCCCGTTACTTAGTGTTATGCAGGCGACCTTAGATCAACAAGGCTTTGATCTCTTAACCTGTTTGAGTAGTGAACGTGTGCCAAGTAGGATTGAAGAACGTGACGCAATACGCACGCCTGTGAGACCATAGGATGAACGCATTTGCTGTAGTGTGTTGTGTTCCGAAGTACCGGAAGACGGGAAGGTTATGGTACTTTACAGACTTGTCCTCCTTCCTACCCCCTTCCGGTAATCTGAGATGCCTCAATTCCTATTAAGATTTCCTTGTCCTTAGCACAAGGGAGTACTTAGAGGGAACGCAATTAATTGTCAAGATTTTTTTTTGTTTTTTTTGTTTTTTTTTTAGGAAGACTAGTTTTTGGTTACTTTTAAAAACATGTCCCTTATTGCTGTGATGTCATAAACTGTATGTCAAAATGGATTTTTTTTTGTTTACATTTATGGTTTCTATAGCTAATTTTCAATATTGAAAAAAGGCAAGTGGGTGGGGAAGATCAGAGTCTTGCTTGCTCTGTGTCATGTTATCTTCTTGAGGTTATCTTGAGATTATTTCGGAGCTTTAGTGTCCCCGCGGCCCGGTCCTCGACCAGGCCTCCACCCCCAGGAAGCAGCCCGTGACAGCTGACTAACACCCAGGTACCTATTTTACTGCTAGGTAACGGGCATCAGGATGAAAGAAACTCTGCCCATCGTTTCTCGCCGGCGCCCGGGATCGAACCCGGGACCACAAGGTCACGCGTCCAGTGTTCTGTCCGCTCAGCCACCGGCTCCCTGTGTTGATCTTTGCTCAATATATATCTGCTTATTGGTCTTACCATCATGAGGGGTTGAGTACAGCTGAGGTGGGTCAAGATGAGCCAGTCAAGATTGCTTCATCACTTGAATCATTCGTGTGTGTGTGTGTGTGTGTGTGTGTGTGCGCGTGCGCTATTTGTATTTACTATTTGTGTCTGCAGAATCGAGCTATTAGCTCTTGGACCCGGCCTTTCTAACTCATCTGTTTTCCTCTATTATGTATACTACATATATTTCTCTCTAACACATACGCGCGCACATCCCTAGGAAGCAGCCGGTAGCAGCCGTCTAATCCCCAGGTACCTATTTACCGCTAGGGGAACAGGTGCATCAGGGATGAAATAAAGTCTAGGATTTTTTTTCTGCCTCTGCCAGGAATCGAACCCGGGCCATTAGGACTACGACCCCCAAGCGCTGTCCACTCAGCCGCGAGGCTTCTAAGACGAGGTTGTATACTCACCTAGTTGTACTCACCTAGTTGTGCTTGCGGGGGTTGAGCTCTGGCTCTTTGGTCCCGCCTCTCAACTGTCAATCAACAGGTGTACAGGTTCCTGAGCCTATTGGGCTCTATCATATCTACACTTGAAACTGTGTATGGAGTCAGCCTCCACCACATCACTTCCTAATGCATTCCATTTGTCAACCACTCTGACACTAAAAAAGTTCTTTCTAATATCTCTGTGGCTCATTTGGGCACTCAGTTTCCACCTGTGTCCCCTAGTGCGTGTGCCCCTTGTGTTGAACAGCCTGTCTTTATCAACCCTGTCAATTCCCTTGAGGATCTTGAATGTGGTGATCATGTCCCCCCTGTGTGTGTGTGTGTGTGTGTGTGTGTGTGTGTGTGTGCGTGTGCGTGTGCGCGCGCACTCGCCTAGAAGTGCTTGCAGGGATAAACACGGCTCCTGGCCCCGCCTTCTGACCATTCTATGATTAATGTCATAACTCATTCCTCATTTTTTTTAATCATATTTACATTAAATATTTCATACTAAGTTTCCTTCAAAGGCTCTTTTGTCCAACCTCTTCCACAATACGTCTACCTCTCCATTTATATTTATTCTCTGCTTTAACACTGAAAGCGTTCTTTCTGACATATCTGGAACACATTTATATCTAGTTTCCATCTGTGCTTCCACGTTCCAGAACAATGCTGCTGTTTGTACTTGGTCACGTTCTCCGAGGATCTTGTAAGTCGTTATCATGTCTTCCATATATCTCCTCTCGTGTGGTAAGGTTCAATTCTCTCATTCTTTCTTCGCAACTCAAAACCCTTCGGCTCAAGAATGAGTTTTGTTGCATATCTTTGGTTTTTATCTAGTTTTATCTAGTTTTGACTGGTTTTGACTATTCCAGACGAGGGTTTCATGCCGAGGCTCCATGTGCAGGGAGTGTGGGTCTCACGTAGGTTGTGTATTGGGTCTGAAAAGCCGTTTTTGTGTGAAGTTTCTGAAGGATGCTCCCGGTTTGGTGCCTTCTTTTGATAATTACTTACTACTTCTGAAGGATGCATGGATGGTGTGGCCTGGCCTCAGGCTGGGCTTGGGAAGCATAAGAACTCCCAGAACCTTCTCCAGGTTTCCATTCACCTGGGGGTGAATGGAAAAAGAGATGTGGGTGAGAGTGGGTGGGTGTGAGAGACCCATATATATATATATATGGGTCTCGAACCCTGGACCCCACGCTCGTGAGGCTGAAGCTCTATCGAATGGGCTATGAGTAGTCGTAATAAGGTGGTGAGTGGAATGTTTATTTACACGGACGTGTGGATGACAATTTATACTTCAACAGGGTTGTTGCTGTAGATATTCTTGTTATGTGTGCGTGTTATCTTGACGCTGTACTTGGGGGGGCCCAGTTCCCAGTCTTCCTCCTTGCAAGAATGCCTCCACTTCATCTTATTCCGCTGTACTGGTCGTCTCACTCCTGTTCCACTCCCCATAACTTTGCATTTGGCAGAGTTAAGTTCTAGCAGCCATTTTTTTTCTTGGCGCTTCTGGAGTGTTCAGAATTAGTTTGCAGAGTATCGCAGTGTTCCTCTGTTCCGGCTCTTCTTGCAAGATTTGCATTGCCACAAACTTGGATATGAAGGAGCCATTTTGCTGTCAGGTCTTTGCCATATATATATATATATATATATATATATATATATATATATATATATATATATATATATATATATATATATATATAAGAAACAGGTTGGTCCCTCAGCACTAACCCTTGTGGCACTCCACTCGTTACCTCTCCAATCTGATATATCTCTGTTCTCATTGTGACCCTCTGATTCCTTCCTTACTCCCTTAGCAAGTTTATCGCTCTTCCCGATGGGCCAGCCAGCTTCTCTAGCTCAAGTTGGAGTCTCTTGTGCGGGACAGTATCAAATAAAATCTGGTAGTCGAGGAAAATGCAGTATACCCATCCTTCTCGTTTGATTTATCTTATTGTAGAACTCCAGTAAGTTTGTCAAGGAAGATTTTTGTTTCCCCAAGACCGTGCTGGTGTTTGGAGGCGAAAGTTAGTTTACAGGGAAGACTTGTTAGTGATACTGTGTGTGTGTGTGTGTGTGTGTTTGTACTCACCTAGTTGTGCTTGCGGGGGTTGAGCTCTGCTTTTTCGGCCCGCCTCTCAACTGTCAATCAACTGTTACTAATATATATTTTTTCAAACACACACACACACACACACACACACACACACACACACACACACACACACACACACACACACACACGCACACACACACACACACACACACACACACACACGCAGTATCACACACACACACACACACACACACACACACACACACACACACACACACACACACACACACACACACACACACACACACACACACACAGGAAGCAACCCACAAGAGCTGTCTTAACTCCCAGATACCTATTTACTGCTAGGTAACAGGAGCATCAGGGTGAAAGAAACTCTGCCTATTTTTGTTTCTCGCCGGCGCCGGGAATCGAACCCGGATCACAGAATTACGTGTCCAGCGTAATCCACACAGCCACCGGCTCCACACAATTAGTGTGTGTGTGTGTGTGTGTGCTAATTAAATATGGTAATTATGTTTTTCGAGAAGGGGGGTGATGGGGGACAGGCTAGGGGGAGGGTGATGGTTGTGTAGCCACAGGTGAGGGGGCAAGGGTGTAGCCACAGGTGAGGGGGTAAGGGTGTAGCCACAGGTGAGGGGGCAAGGGTGTAGCCACAGGTGAGGTGGCAAGGGTGTAGCCACAGGTGAGGGGGCAAGGGTGTAGCCACAGGTGAGGGGGCAAGGGTGTAGCCACAGGTGAGGGGGCAAGGGTGTAGCCACAGGTGAGGGGGCAAGGGTGTAGCCACAGGTGAGGGGGTAAGGGTGTAGCCACAGGTGAGGGGGCAAGGGTGTAGCCACAGGTGAGGGGGCAAGGGTGTAGCCACAGGTGAGGGGGCAAGGGTGTAGCCACAGGTGAGGGGGCAAGGGTGTAGCCACAGGTGAGGGGGCAAGGGTGTAGCCACAGGTGAGGGGGCAAGGGTGTAGCCACAGGTGAGGGGGCAAGGGTGTAGCCAGAGTAGCCCAGGGTACTGGTGGGTGTGGCCAGAGGTGTGGCCAGGGTGTGGGAAGAGAGCAAGCAAGATGACAGACCAATCCCCATCAAACATGCCGATCCAAAAAAAAAAAAAATGACCAACTTATTAAAACCATTCCTACAGAGACTTATGTCCTCATAAGTGTAAGATAGATACAAGTTGCAAACAATAAATGATTTAAAAGATGAAGAAAAGTTTGTTTGCTTTATCCTCTATGTACATTGGTCTAGTGGCTAACATGTTGTTGTTTAAGATTCGCTACCTGGTACAAAAAGTTCCAAGTAGCACGGGCTATGGTGAGCCCGTAGTGGACTTCTATTTCAGTGGCTAACAGACAGACACAGACGATACTACGCTGCTGTTCTTGGCGGCAGTTTTTGATAAATATGGTAATTATCGTGTCTGATTCAAGTTCTCTTGTCTTAACTACTGTTGTTTAAGATTCGCTTCCTAGAACAAAAAGTTCCAGGTAGCACGGGCTATGGCGAGCCCGGAGATTGTCTTGACTGCAATTATTGATCTTTAATTCTTGATAGTGTATACCGTATACCCGAGACTAATATTGTTAGAAAACAAAGGGTGGCGTCTTAGAGAGGTGGTCTATAATGCTAATGTTTGAACAGCTAAGTTGTGACCATCGATATGAGTGCAGACCTCAACCAGCAACAGTCGTATGGATCAACAAATCACCATGGCAGCCTGGCTTCAGATCAGACTTCAGGTATAGAAACAAATCTTGGAACTAGCTAAAGGTATGCCACAGAAATATAGTATAAACAGAATTGATAGATTTTAAAGTCACCGTGTTAGCTTTAGCTCATTATTTATCAGATAAATCTGATAAATTTAATAAATTTATCATTATTAAAAGCAGATAAAAACATCTTTACCATTTTTATCGAGTTTATATTTTTAGGTGAATTTGTAATTGGAAGGTTGCGAGGCTTGGTTGAACACCAGGGGCCAGATTCACGAAGCAGTTACGCAAGCACTTACGAACGTGTACATCTTTCCTCAATCTTTGACGGTTTTGGTTACATTTATTAAACAGTTTACAAACATGAAAACTTGCCAATCAACTGTTGTTATTGTTATAAACAGCCTCCTGGTGCTTCCGAGC